GTTCTTTAATCCCAGAAATGTTCTTCAGGTGACAAAAGGCTGACTTTGTAACTGTCTTTATGTGACTCTGAAGGTTCACGAGTTCATCACTACACTCCGATCTGGAGACAGATTGTTAGTTGGTAGCTGTAATAACTGAAGCTGTGTGCTGACTCTAGATCAGATTTCTTACACAGTCTAAGCACTAATTTGTGGCATGAGGTTTCAATACCTTATGAGGTGAAATAGATCTACAATGGAATATCATCTGCACAGCTGTGATTTGAAGCAAGTGCTCCAAATGTGCTGAAGGATGGGGGAAGGGACATGAAAATCCAAAATAAACAACTCCGTCTCTTTCTTGTCTGACCAGAAACCTTTCTCCAGAAACAATTTGAATTTTGCCCCTTAGCTTTTTGGAGCAGGAGCTTCTTTCTCGGTCAGCCTCCTCATAGACTGTGACGGTGTAAAGCTCTCTTCGATGCAAAAGATGACACTGGTGCTCTGGCATTTTCCAGTTTATGATTGGCATGATGGTTCCAGAGCTTTTCTTGGACACCCTAATCAACTGACCTTTCATCTTACGCCAAAAATATAGGTTATACTTGGATACATTTGAGTGTCCTTACTCAAAAAGATCCAAAACACATGTGCAAAACACAGGTTCTGAATGAATAAATCAGGCTAACATCAAGCTTCTGGAATGGCCCCCATGTAAACCCTATTGGAATTGTACAGACTGTGCCAGGAGACCATCCGGTTTAACTGTAACTATACCATTTCTGCCAAGACAAGTGGTCAAATATCCAGCCAGAACTTTTTGCCAGAAGCTTTTGGATGGCCAAAAACAATTATTAACGATCAATTGGTTAAGTTATATAACGGACAATCAGCATTCTGTGGGGGAAAAAAGAACACCTCACATGTATCTTGAAATGCGCATCAGCTGAAACGCTGTTTCATTAAATTGATGAAGACCAAAATTTTACACAGCACAATTCAGTGATACAGAATCAGATGGCCCCATATGGAGTCCTTAGTGCAACGTTTTCTGCTACTTTCTGCTTGGCGTTGTACTGATGATATAACAGAGAATCAGGACATGTGTTGCATGCTCCCGTCTTTCCCACCAATCCCTGCTCCTCCTGTCATCTTCTATTCTCTTTCTTCGCACACATCACAGCTTTCACGTCGGCTGAGTTCTTATAAAGTTTTCTCTCCTGATCTCCCTGCTGACTCCGTCTGGCGTGACGCGCCATCAGCACATTTGTATCCCCCGAACAAGTCTTTCACCTCTCCAGCTGCGGAGAACCAACTCACATCACACGGCCCCTGTGTGTGTGTGTGTGTGTGTGTGTGTGGTATTGTGCGGTTTGAGCAGGAAGTCTTGGCGTGGCGTGCCTGAGGGAAGGGAATTTTAAATCAGGAGTCCATGAAAACTAATACCGGTGAATATTTAAATGCTTGATTCCTATCAGAGGGTGGGACATTGATGAGGAAGCTTTGACTGGGTTGGGTTGCGCACAGTGAGCCAGTGTATGGAGGTCGGGGGAGTTTTTATGTCTCTGTTTGCCCGACCGAGCAAGAAGAAAGCGCATGGGCTCTGCCTAGTGTTCATTTGCTGGAATTACGTTTTCTCAACACATCTTACCACGAGTCCTTGAAGGTGGAGAGCATCTTCAGGAAAGGGAGAAAGGGAAACATCAACCACCTTCACTTTTATCTGGATCTGACACAACATAACAGGAACTTCTTTGATCACGGGAGCAAAGGAAAAATGCAGAATGCCAGACTGCACAACAAATAATCTCCCCTTACTTTATCTTCTTCAGCATGCACTGTGTTGGCCTGCTGTCATCTTAATGAAACAATGGAGAGGCATTACCAGCGGCTCATCCTTGTGATCCTGTCTCCCAGGGGCCCCCATCCTCTGCCACTGGTGTGCAAAATGTAGGTCGACTGTTCTGTGAATAAGGGGGCTGCTGGCTGTTTTTTTGGGAGGGGGGGGGGGGGGGTTGGCCGAGATTAGGCTCCCAAGAACAGTCAAAGGGTTGTGCGATTCAAAAACCTAGTTGACCTTTCTCAAATAGTTAGAGCAGTTAAAAGAGACGCAACAACAGACGCAACTCAGGGTTTATGCTTCTTGCTTTTATGGTGGATTCATCAAACAAACAATGTGAGACTGTGTTCAGTCATGGAAACATCAAGAGGTACAATTGTTTCTGCAACTTTGTTTGGCCGTGGAAACTCAAGGATTGTACCGTCTCCGATCAATATGACAGGAACATTGTTCTATAGCTACAGTTTCTTAATTGTCTGCTTAGAAACATTTTATGAACAGCATTGTGAGTCATATTTTTTTCTTTTGCAAGAATTTCAAGGGTCTCCACAATTGTCCAGTTGTCCACAGTGCCACTGTATCAAAAGTAAGATTCATCTGAATTGTCCATCTTGAGCCTTTAAGTGCTGATTTGCCAAACTAAGCAATTCCACGATACACCAAAAAATGTGAATTAATAATGGACCCCCACAGCCATTGTTTTGGATTTTAACAAATTGTGGATTTGTTAAAATCCACAAATCCTTAAGGTTTCCTCTAAAAAACGTTTGTAGCTGCTTGTTTTAGTAGTTCAAACACCAGTTTACCTTAATCTAGTTATATTAAGGTAAACCATCACGGCTCAACTACAGAAGCTAACATACATAGTGGTTCTTATCTCTGCTCATAGTTTAGCCAATCAGCATCGTGGAAAATAAATACCGCTAGGGTAAGGGATGGGGTTAGAGTTACCCTAACCCTACCCTAACCCTATATTACCCAATATTTAGGTAATATAGTCAAGTACTATATTACCTAGATATTTTGGCTTCCTAACTACCAATTCCTTTTGAATCTTTTAGAAACACTAAACACGACGTTCTAGCTGTAGGTGGATTTTCCACAGATAATTTGAAGTTATATTCCACAGAATAGGTGAACACGCTTGTATGTAAACGGAAAAAGGCTGGGATCCACTGGATTTGTTTTGTTTCATCTTCAGTCTTTTTACTAACCAGCTGCTAACATCAATTATATTTAACAGACTAATTTTTTTCTGAATGTTTTTGCTTGGTTGAAGAGATCCTACAGCGTGAATTCTGCCAAATCCTCTCCTCTTTCCTAAAGTCCTCACTTCAGCTGAGCTTTGTCCTCGTGGACCTTGTGCAGCAATGCAAGGCATCAACATGTTTACCATAGAAACAGTGAAGAGCAGACCTTGGCACATTTTCCCTCGGAGTGTTGTTTTAGAACTCCGTCGTCTGTGGCCTACCAGCAACCTCATTTTTCAGGAAGATAACATCACTTTCTCCTAAGCAGCCAACGATTCAGCATCACCTGAAAATAGTTCCTTATCTTTTTTTATTTATTTAAAATGCTAAATTATTTTTTATAAAAAAAATAATAAAAAAATAGGGCGCTAGATCATCATAAAGCCAGTGAATAAATGGAATAATGAGGATGAAAAAAACCTTTAAAAAGATGAGCAAAAGGAAGGGCTAAGTAGTGATTTTTGTCTTTGTCAGCACTCTAGAGTCAGTTGGACTATGATAAATGTATCTCCTTGTTTGCACATTTATCCATACATCCGCTTTGTCTCCAGCCTCTACAAATGACAAAACAACCCCCAGCCCCTAAAAAAAAAAAAAAAAAAGTAGATAAAAAGACCAGAGTACAGCCTTATTCCTCAGACATAAAAGCTTACTCTGATCCCTACAACACAATTCGGCCGTTTCCCTTGTGCCTTTAGGCCAGGCAACAAATAATACCCATAATGGAGGAAGTCTGACTGCTGGAATCCCCTGTGGGCGCACTGGTCCAGCTCATGGAGGGACACGATGCCAGGCGGAAAGCTGTGCTGCCTATTTATGGACGCCCCAATCTGGGCACACGCATTTTTATTTTAATTCCTTTCTCTCTTTTTCTCTCCGCAGCTCACCTCACTGGCAGCGAGAAATGTTCTTCCGCCATTATACGACACAGTTCACACGTAGAGTTTGGAAAACAGGTTGGAATGTGCCGTGAATAGTAAGTTTGGCGTCAAAGCAGCAGTTTGAGAGTCTCTCCCTCCCAGCAGCAGCAGCAGTGTAACCCATGGGGGCTCAGATGAGGAAGATGTGACAGTAACAGCTCGAACACAAAGTAATAAGTCCCAAGCTGACACCCCCTCCAACCCACACCGTCCCCTACCCCTAAATAAAACAGCGAGCCACGGATCCACGCGACGCTTCCCGCTCGTTTCCCTGGAGCTTCCCGTCGTCTCCTCAAACAGCTCACACGAAGGAAAACTGGGAATTTAACCACAGAAATAAAACAATTACATCTTAAGTTCCCCCTGAAAAATTCATGCTTGCGCTATGCTGCATGAAACATGAGCGTGCTTGAAGAGAAGAGACAAAAAAAAAAAAGTAATCCCTCTGAAACACAATTGTGCTAGTTTTGTGGCCTCAAAGTTGAGCGCTGGGAATTTGGAAAGCTTCAAACAGCACTTGGTGTTAACATCTGGGTCGAGTAGCAGCGGGTGAGTGTGTGGGCCCACAGCGCCACACTGTGGTGGCTGTAAAAGTCAAACAGCCAGCACTTTTTCTCCCCCTTTTACACTGAACGCCCACGGCTGGAATACAATAAAGCTAAATGTAAAACTTTTAGAGGAGTGTTGCCAAATAAGTAAAGGACAAATGAAAAGTCAATGGTATTCTATAGGAAACTGGTGGATTGAGTTGAAAAGGCAGTCAACAAACCAGACTCCGTTATATTAGTGGTCACGAGGAACGGTCCAAGAGTCCAGGAAACTATTGAGAAAAGGTTGTCAAGTAACAAAAAGAGATTAAGTTTATAGGACAATACCATATCAAACATGAAGAAAATGTATGTAAACTCCTAAAACTACATACCATCTGCATGTAGTCTTTTTTTTTTTTTGTGGCTGTACATAATTCTGTCCTAATAGCCAACAATTACATCCAATCACACATCAAACCAATGTGGTTACAATTCACGATTTTTATTTTCAATGTACAAGTCCACATCTGCACTTAAATAAACTTATTACAAAATAATGACACTGGCTTACACTTTGGCAGAAGCAGCATACACATTCCTTTCCGACGAAAGCTTAAAGCGTTTAAATACAGTACGAGGGAATAGCGTGGAGTGAACAATCGCTGTGTTGAAGCGGCGATGGGAATCGCCTGATCTGACCCGGTGAAATGTGTACGCAAGTTTACATATCGTCTGCATATGTGATGACTTTTCTAAGTGACAGATGTAACAGGAGCTTGAACATCACTGAGAGCGGCTAGAGGATATATTTACTTTCCAGTCATGCACATGTGATGAATGTCCCGTCTATGTAACAACTCTGGCATTTGAGCCATATACGCATGTAAATATAAAGCTTGCAGTATACCACGCTCTGTTCTTGGCCCTTTACTCTGTAAATACACAAGGGAGACCACGAGAAATAAATAACTTCAAACTTTTAAATATAGATATAAAACCCACAACGCATTGGTTTTTTCAAAGGGGAATGATTGTGCCGATTGTCACAGCGGCTGTCCAACAGTCGGGAGTCCACGTGCAGCTCACATCCTGAACCACAAATTGGGTTAAGGCACACAGTTTACAGAGCACTTTATGTGGAAAAAAAAAACCCATTTAAATAACACAGGTTGGACGCATTTTCATCACCATAACAGAGACGGTTTTGAAGCATAGCAGCCTTTGACTGAAATGTAAAGTGTTGATTCTTTCTAGAGCTGGAGAATTTCACAGTTGGCTTGAGTCTGAGCGGAAACGTGGTTCTGTAGCGCCTTGAAGTGGCAGATGAGCACAAGAAGCCGCGTGAGTATTCATGTCACAGCCCTCCCCCCGTTTGCCACAAGGCAAACGCGAGTCGCTCTGGAATCGGATTCCACTTGAGTACTCCCCTGGCTTTCCCCCCTCGCCGGCTCTGCCGAGGAGCCGCCACCATTCCAGACGTTCCTGACTTTGGTCCCCTCGGCTTGTCCCTGGGCGACAGCTCGGCTCGCTTTCTCTCCCGATGTTCGTTCAGTCACACGTCAATCTTCTTCAGCTGCTCGTAAGTGAGGAAGAACTGAAGATGGAGTGAAGGAAAATGTGAGGAAAGGGGAGCTGCATTTTGGGTAGACAAAGGCAAAAGCAGAGGGAATCCTTCAACTTTGCCGCCCAAAGTAAATAAGTTCGTTTTTAGCCCTGAACAGAGTGATTTCCCTCTTAACATCAAAAATGAAACCCTGTGTTCATTCTCTTGCCCGCTGAAGGTCTCCTACGGTCACTTTGACAGGGGGGTATTTGGGTAATGAGGCAGTAGCTCCAGGAGATTACATAAAAGTGTTAGCCAGAATTAAGCTAATCTCCCCCACTAGAAAGAAAGAAAGTCTCTGAATCCCATGCTTTACTGAAAGCATTACAGCATTTTACAACGTGCCTCAGTTATTACCACATCCTGGAATACATTTCAATTTTAACCAGAGTAGTCGTCGACTCAGAGGGCTGAAAGGATACAATGATGTTCCACGGTCCCAGGCGGAGCCAGTTTGGGAAGAAACCCTTGTAGAGCGCCATGAAGCCCTCTGAGCGCCACGTCTGCAGGAGGAAAACACAACAAGTTCAGTCCAATGTCACGTAATTATCCTCTGATGGAATCTGCTAGTGATGATACTCTTCACTGCTTGATGATTCAAAGGAAGAAGAAAACTTTAAACTTGACATGTTTGAGCCAATAAATTGAGAGAGCAAATCATTTTGACACCATGATGGAACAAATTTCCAGCTAATCAATCCTGGCTAATGACCTGAAGGTGATAAAATTTTAAAAGCCAATCTCCCCCCCCCCTCAACAATGAATGCATAGTTCAACACTCTTGAATGTGGACGCACAAGTGATTTTAACATATTTTGAATCACTATAATTTTTAAAAAATGAAATAAGAGTAAGTACAGAGGTAAGTGAAGCAATTTAAGGGGGAAATTGTATTTTCTAAAATAAAAAATGTCTCGACATGTCTGTGGTTCAATCAGGCTGCGAGGCAGCGAGAGAAAACAAGACTTATGGGAAGTTCTGAGTAGTGTAGAGTAGTAGAGAGGATTAGAAAATGTTGACTGTTTTTTAATCAATCTAATTCTGTAAGGAAGATGTATAGTCTGCAGACACATTAGTCCAAACTGCATTACATGCAAATTTCTTAATGGCTTTTCTTTGTATTGGTCTAAACATGTCTGCCTCTCACCACAGACATGGCCTCAGGTTTGTCAACCTGCCTGTTGACTCAACATGCATGAACAGGCCCCACCTGTGTGTACGTTGCAGGACATTAGCATACATTTAGCGAGTTAGATTAAAATTAATGGTTCATTTGAATATTCCCAGATGTTTTCTTTTAGACATCATGACTAGAATTCATCAATTGCCACCATATTTAATGTTCAAGTTGCTTTTTCTCCGACTTACGAGTTTAGCATTTTTGTTTTTCACGTTTCAAATTTCATCTGCGTCACCATTATAACAGCCGCTCTATTGTCATCCCGTTTTCCCATAAAGTGCAGCAGAATGCATTGTTTTTTGTTTCTCACAAATAATAATAATGAAAAAAAACTAGGCTGTTTCCATTTTGCAGCAAAATGTTCTGTTTCAATCTGAATTAGCATTCAAGTGTGGGTTTTTGCAGGCATGAGTAAACCCTCCTAAACGAAGCAGTTAATACTTCCCTGTTGCCAGTAGCAACATGTCTATCAGTAACTCACTGAGGGCTACAACAAGTGCAACAGAAATTCTTGCATTAATAGATTTTGGGGATTACTGAGCTGATGCAGCACCGTGTTCAGACCCGATATCAAAGTGATCCACCAGGTGTCTAGCAGACAGATATAAACTGCAGTGCCCTCAGTTCTTAGAACCTCCATATAAAACATTACGGCCATTAAAACGAAGGGCCCTTAAAGCTGAGCTGCACACGGCCGCACTGGAGAGGTGCAGCTAAAAAGCAAACCTAATCTTTTTCACTGACTGATCTGGCTGTTAAACATAAACCACAAACACTTCCAGGTTACAGATTGGGTTTTTTTTCCCCCCACCTCACTAAAAACAGTTCCAGTCCTAAACGCTAAAGAAAGTTCTTGATTTGCTCTAGAAAAGAACCAGTGCGGCTTTCCAAAGACAGACAATTTTAGGTTCGTCTGGTAAATATTTGATTCTAAATGAAGCATTGAGGCTGCGGTTTACTAATGCAGCACTTAATGCTCTATGAAGAGCACTGACCTACTTAAAGACTGACAGACGAGAGATACGAAAACTGACTTCATTCCAAAGTTACTTAAGATTTTTATTACCGTTGATGTGTAACTTGGATCACTTTTTTCAGCCTTTACCAAAATGAAACCAAAAAAACTGGGACTCAGCAAGCCCTAGTACCAGATTTCTTTAGAGTATTTAGCTGATCGTGCATTTATAGCAGTTGATATGTAAAGCAGTAGATTAAATCTGTCTATATTCAACAGCAGAAGAAGCATCTACACAGGAATACCTCAGACAGTGTTTATGTGTTTTCCCGTTGTTTAGTATGGTCCGGGTGTTAGTCTGTGACTCACCTGCAGCAGACAGTCGAGCGTTCCCTGGTACAGAGCCCCTCCCCTCTGGTTCATCATGCGTGTCCGGACCACATCTACTGGATTCGAGGCCAGAGCCCCAGCAAGGCCACACACAAAGCTGGACCTGATGGGCAACAAAGAGCAGCCAGCGTTGGGGACGTTACAGGGTATCTGCAGGTTTCAGCCAGTCAAATTTAAAACCTTGAATAAAATTTAAGACAGAAAAAGAAAAAGCCTATAACTAAAGGGGACGATTAATGGACTCTGCTGGCTCGTATGGGCTGGCAACAGAAGTAAGGTAATAGTGAAAATGAACGTCATCCAGTCAGCAGGTGATACATTTGCATTTACTCACGATAGACGCAAAAAATTAGCAGCTAGTTATCGAACGCCTCAAGTCACAGAACACAATGAAGACGTCTGCATGCAACTCAAACTTTAGCCGGACAGGAAAGTCACAACATTTATTACCTGGTATTGGCATTTATGACCAAGTTACATTTTTAAAAATAATTTAAGTCCTTAACTTTAGATAAATGAATTTAAGACTTTTAAAGGATGCGTGGACACCCTGCATGATATCATGGCGCTAGTCAGCATTTCGGTGCCACCAATGAGACCAAGACCTCTGAATCCTAAAAACCACTAATGCAGCCCTTTTCAAACACATCAACCATTGTTGACGTGCGTCTGTGGCTCTTCGATTATCACACTCCTTAACTGACCAGTCACTAAGTGGACAGCCATGTCTCTGGCTCTAAAGTTACTGTGTGAGCATTTAAAAAATATCCAAAAACATATATACCGCAAACCAAAAACTAAATCCTGACAGATGCACGTCACTAAAACATGTTTTGACTGATGCTTTTCATTTTTGACAGCTCTAATTTACAGCCACTTAAGGGATACGTAGGAATCCCTTCAGTAACTGAAACTCACAGGAAGTGTGTGTACACGGTGTCTCCCATGTGACCCGACAGGATCAGGTGCTTCTTGGTGATGTCGTAGACCGGGAGTTCGACGCCGACCACGATGGCCGCTCTCTGAGCTGTTAGAGAAACGCCCTGAAACGAAAACAAAACGAATGCTTACAGGCCGACACTCTGAAATATGAAACTCACTGGGTCTTTTTGTTTGTTTTGTTTTTGATTCTTTGCCAATTTCCTCTACCTTCCACAGTCCTCGTGTGCCCTCCTCCTGGTAGATATTGATGAAGTTGCCCATCATGCTGCCTTGGATCACATTTCCCTGAGCCTGCATCCGGATCTGGGAGAAGACACAAAGACACAAAGTAACCTTGGTGGTCGCAAACTTGATCTTGCACCGACATTGGTCGATGCACTGGGAGACTCGGGCACCCTCACGTTTTTGCAGTTGTATGTGGACAGTCCCCATGTCCACATACAATTCCCATTCCGCCACCCAGTCAGTGGAGCTATTGTCACATCCCGGCTTTCTCACCCTCAATTTCAGCGGTCCTTGATCGCACGTGCGGAGCAGTACCTGGAACACATGGAGGACCTTACGGGAAAGATGGATCTCCATCTTTCCCTAAGGGTGGAACAGGTACGGCTTTTTGAGGGTGAGATTCCGGGGGCGCTTTCTCCAAAGAGTTTTTTCTGCAAAGAGGCACTGAAAATGCTCTTCGTAGAAAATGCCCTACTCATGCCCTTTAATGACTCTGGGAGTGACAATGGCCTTATTGTCACTCTCAGGAGGGTTCTTGAGTACTTTGAGAAGGGACTGAGGGAACAGTTCTCCACCTCAGAGGGGGTGGCACGTTTTGATGCCAGCTGGAAGGCCTACCAGTTGGAACTGGCATTGGAAGAGATGTTCTTCGGGCATCCTCTTTCAATGTCAGACTTCCATTTGAGCGCCAGCCTGGGAGTCAGCACGTCCAATCCAAAGAGCCTCACCTTCAGGAGAGGCTTCATTGGGTTGGCCCCTCATACTGCTGCCAGTGCTGGCGAGGTGCCGCCCCCTCTGCACCACTGGACGAGGAATGCGCTCCAAATGTACCGTTTGGAGCGCATATTTCCTCTCTGTCAGGTGTTGGAGGCTGTTCCCTCTATCCTTGGGGCTGCCTTAGTCCATGTTTTCCTCTGCGATGTGTTCAGGAGGAATGACAACATTCCATGCAGTTCTCTAAAGGGGGATACCCCCCCTGGGAGACTGACTGGTGTGACAAACCTGGACACATTTGCAGAGGAACTGTGCAGTAAGAACTGTTTTCCTGCTCCTCTGACTTTTGGACGAGCCCGAGAAATCGTAATTCAGGCCGGGAGGGACCCGCAAGAGGCCCTTGTTGCGGGTTTCCGTGCCCATGAATTACGGTTTCTTCCGGCAGTGAAGTACCGGGACTTCCACAGAGCCCACAAGCTGTTTTGGAATTCCCGGGACTTCACAATCGTCCAAGGTGAGGGGAGAAATGTGGAACTTTCAAAACTGGCAAGTATCTCCCTCCAGATTTTCACTGAGATGGAGAGACGGTCCCTGTCCTTCTCACGGAATCTGGAGAAGTACCGCGACAACGGGTTGCCATGGTTGCGTTCCGTACTTCAAAGGGTTCCGGAGAAGGTGGGAACTGCCCTCTCCCTCAAGATCTTCACGTTCATCTCGTCAATTGGGATGATTATGAACGGTGATTATGTAGATTATAAATGTCTTCATAATCTTCTACATGAGTTGAGTCCCATCAGCCAGAAAGTGATGCAGGATTGGAAGATATTGTCACGATTTCACCTGCCTCGTGTCTACACCTCAGTCATCTGGAAACTTCATGAGGACATACCTTTCCGGCTGCAGGTTCCCTCTAAGCCAAGGTACCTGCCGCCAAAGGAAGTCCAAGCTGAGCAACCCTATGAGGATGTTCAGCTAATAGATGACCAAGATGAGATGCCCGCCATTGAGCGTTCTAAATCAAAGACAGTTCCTGCAAACTCACGCAGGCCTTGGACTGAAGAGGAGGAATCCAACATTTTCCTTCATCCAAAGATCACTGCAAAAATAGGCTATGAAATGTATTTGAAGGCCTGTGAGATTGATGGACTCCCGGTCAGGACCCGTAGGGCCTTCAACGCCAAACGTTGGAGGATGCTAAAAGGGGGTCAGTCTGGTGGAAAGGATTTCATTTTGTAAATATTTTCATATTTTCTATGTTCTTATTGTTCCTCGTTAATGAACTTCATAAAATCTTGTCTTTAATGACTTCAAAATATATACATCAGATATGACAATGGGTGCATTGTTTTTAACCTGTGTTTAAACCTATAATTACACTGCAGGTGTGACTAAAAAAAAAAAAAAAAAACAGAAACCGCCACTGCATTTACACGGACAGCTTGTGCAGCACACACCCCTATGAAACACAATGTTCCAAACCTGCAGAAGCATGTGTCGAGGTGTTAATCTTATAAACACTAACCGCGCCAAACGGATCGCAGACAGAGAGAGATAAGGCCGTTGGCATTCACCAACCGGTATCATTTACAGAACGCTATGTTAGGCCTTTCAGGGGTCAGTCTATAAATAAAGCACCAGTGAGGTCGTGATAGCCCCGGTTTGACTTTCGCTCTACTACGCTGCCTTCACCAAGTATTAATATCTCTTGAACTTTTTCACATTTTATCAACTGACAGCCAAGGTTGGGATTTTTTTCTTTTTTCTTTTGCAACCGGCAAAACAGAAAACTACTGCAAAACTGTGGAGCATAAGAAACAACAAAATGTGGCTTTCACATTTCTTTTAACAAAATAATCTAGAAAGCATCCTATGCATTTTTACCATGAGAATTTTTTCTTTCTTTTTTTAAATATCTCAAGTTCTGTCAGATTAGACTGAACAAAATTCAACTGATGTTAAAGACTTTCGGGTCTAAACCTGGGCTTTAACCGGGTCATTCTGGCACACAAATATTCTCTCATACAATCCAAGGGCGTCAAGTTTCAGTACTGCAGATTTTAAATGCATCTATGCTTCTACACACCAAATATCTAGCCTGTTATAGTGCTACCTGAAAGCTGAGGAGGGAATTCAGTCGTTTGATTCGGGTGTAGTGAGCCAAGGACTGACCAAAAAGTGGTAGAACACATTAAGAGTCTCCATTTGATATCGGTGACCTGAACTATTCCACGGCAGCTTTAGCTGAATGTTAGGGATCTTTGTCCTGCTGGAAGTCAATCGTCCATTCCCAGTTTTGGAGTCTACTGCAAGGATTATCGTCAAGGATTTAGCTCCATCCCCACCCAGACTTTGCAAATAAACCAGCTCAGATCTCCAGACCTGAGCACCTTCTCCCAACTTTGTTGTGTCAGCACACGAGTGCGCCACTAATAATTGTTCTTGTCAACAGCTTTGTGGATCTCCACAGTTATCATGGCCCTGTAGGCTTAGGGCTGTAGTGATACAGTAATCTTACGATATGATACGATACACGATATTCTGTCCACGATATGATATATATTGCAATATTCATCAAACGATACAATTCAATACACTTTTGCGATTTTCTGAAAGATTTTAGAGGGACAGAGTGATTTTGGTGATATTTTGTGACTGTTATAGAGTTGGATTGAATTACTGAACTGAAAACTGATTAAAACACCAACCTGGCTCTGGTTGGACATGGACACAGACAAAGTCGACAGCTGGACAAAAAGAATCAAAGAAGTGGTGAGAAAACATGTTTCTTTTAATTGAAACAGTACAAACTGTAGCTTACATGGATTTATAAAGTAAATAAAGTGCACCAAGTACCTGCTCTGAATAGTTTGATACCTTTTTAACCTTGACACTTAACATCTGAAGGAATCACTCTAAGCCTGATGACCTAATCACTCTCCCGGCGAAGCAAGCAGTGAGTGAGCAAGATGACAGTTGGATGTTACGATACTTGCGGATGAATATCAATTTTTTTCTAGGAAAGAAAATATTGATATATATCGCGATATCGATATTATCCTACAGCCCTATGTAGGCTGTTTTTTTTTTCTGACGCAGGGTGAAGCTAGTCAAGCTGTAGTTTGTTTGACTAGAAAGTCTGGTTGGTTTGAGGAGGAGGGAATGATCAATAAAACTTTTATGTGGACAAAAACAAACCGAACTCTGGCTTTCCTGAAAACCTGGGCCCTGGTTCGGATGTGTTTCCAAATGCATGGTAATACCAAGCAGACCAGAGACCGCTCCAAAGCGCAGGATGTGGACGATAGCACAGGGCATTCTGGGTAAATTCAACCTAAACAAACACGAGAGTCGTTGGTAGATCAGCTTGTAATCTTTTTTTTTACCGACAACAAAAGAGAAATCCTTCAACCGCTAAAATCTGATGCTGCTCCAGTTTAGTTTACACTTTGTGAAGGAGGAAGTTGTGTTGAGCGTCTTCTTCTGAGGTTTTCCTGTAGTTTCTTTTAGTGGGTTGTGGTGTAGTGCCACCACAGGTGAGGAGGTAAACCGGTTTTTCCAAAGAGTTTGGTTTGTTTGACACAGCGGAGTGTGAAAGTGAACCTCTCCGCTTCAAATAGATTGAACACTGTTTCATAATTCCTACAGTGCTTGGGATGTTATTTTATCATCTAATCCTGCTTTAAACTTCTCCACCGTTTTCTCCCCAACTTGTCTGAAGTGTGTCTTGATCTTCATGATGCTTTTTGTTCACCAATGTTCCCTGACACAAAACACCTGGATTAAAACTGATTATTAAAACTGAAATTTTATTGCACATAAGTGGAGCAATAAAACAACTTCTGACCTCAACCGGTTCAAACGTGAAAAGGTTTAAGTTCTATTGATAAGTAAAACTCCACACCTTCCTTTGGTTTCAGGACAGACTTCTCCGTTTTCCACTGAAATATTTCCAAACACTTTGCTTTGGGGGCCCAAAGACCCGTCAAACCCGCTCTGCTGCTTTAAGAATTATAAAGAAGACCGGTCATTTATGCTAAATTACATACCTTCAGCACATCAGTGGGGTTGGCAATGGAAGAAGAGATGACTCCAGAAAGAACGCCGCACAGCACATTGGTCAGCAAGGTCTCATCTGGAAGAAAATCAAGATATTAACTTGATCCACTCAAAGCGTGCAGTACTGGTTTTAGAACTCAGTCTCAGGAACCAGGCCGGGCACTACGCTTTAAGAGGTCACGCAATGTCACACAAACTCCTGTGACCTTCTGCAGGAATGCGCATGCGGCGTGTTTGCCTTGGAGCAAAGTTTGTGGGTTTGTGTTTGAGAAGTGCAACAGAAACCGAGCGCTCACCTTCTGGTCTGTCCACCAGCAGCCGCTTAAAACTCTGATACGTCCCAATTTTGATGGTCCCGTAGGAGGCCTGACGGAGCATGGCGGGGGCGATGCTACCAAAAAAAAAAAAAGTTTTTTTTTTTTTTTTTTAAATGTAGCACTACAGAAAAACATTGATTAAATAATCTAGAAATTGTGCTCTCTCTGTCTCTCTCTCTCTCTGTTAAACAAGGATGCAAGAGAGATCGGGTCGACAAGACACAGGAACAGGAAGTACATTGTGTTCATGCAGTACCGTTGCACTTTCATTTTGCGCAAAATAAAACACATTCAGCTACATAAGTGTGAACCCGCTCACCCCGAGTAAAGCGCCCGGAGCCCCTCCTCTCGTCCTATCCTCATGATAGCATGGAGCATGCCTCTGTAGCGGATCTCACGGTACTTGATGTCCCCGACTTGTCCCTGGACCTGGAGGCGCGTCTTGGCCAGGTCGATAGGGAAAGTGCCTGTTAACCCACAGCATTAAAGACTCATTACCTTGTTTTCAAACCCACGTTCGTTTTTCTTCAAGCAGGAAGAAAAACTAAAATAAGAAAACACCCCATACACGCTGCACGGCCTCCTCCCCACACATCCCTCACCCACTCACCGCATTCTGCCGTTATAGAAGCAAGCCCGCCGAAAACGAAAGGCTTCCAGTTCACGGTGGACATTTTTTTTCTTCCCCGGACCGAGTATTAAGACGCAGTGAGCCGCTTCTCGGTATTATACAGCCAATGTTTCTTATGAGAGGATCCCAGGTCCGGTCGTCGCCAGAGAACTTCAGCCCCACGTCGCCTCCTCAGACTGGCAGACCTGAAAGACGCTCAGCTCCGCCTTCCCGCCGCTCCTTCACCGGCGTCTGTATTCTCAGGCTCCGCCCACTGCTCGCTGCCTGGCAACCGTGCCAGAACGTCTCGTGACTTCAGTTATCAGATCCTTTCTTGCGTTTCTTTTTCAAACAAATATAGACTGACTATAAAAGAAAAAAAAAATACAGCTGGGTGTTTAGATTTCCACCACAGGACTTCACGACATCCACAGTTTTGTAACAGCATATAAAGAAGCTTCCCCACCCCCCCTTCAGGAAAGTAACCTGAGAGAACATGGTAGTCAGTCAGACACTGGAATAATGACACAGCTTTAATGTGCAATAAAGAACAAAATGTAAGAGATCTTAGTTTGAAAATGATGCATATACATACTTAAAATATTACATTTAAGAGCTTAAATGCTTTTTTTTTTATTTGTGCTGTAAAAAAACATGAGAAAATGCAGCCTACCTGTTTGGTAGGTTATTTCTACATTGTAGCAATTCTTCTAGGCAGGCCTAACCCCAGCTTGTATGGAGCCTTAAGAGGAATTTAGTGTATATTTGTGTGCCTGTGTAGTTAATTTCATTCGATGTTAAAATAATCCATATTTGTAGTCTATCTTTATTCTTAAGTTGTTTTTTTTTCCACTTTGGTTACATTTGGTTAAGATTTTCTGAGGCAGGCTGCATCTTTAATAGACCATCATGAAATATAAGTATCATTTTCACAAGACAATCTGTGTTGTTTCAATTAGAGCTGCTACTAGCAATAAATAAATAAATAAATAAATAAATAAATAAATAAATAAATAAATAAATAAATAAAAGAGAATCAATTTCACCTGGAAAAAGAAAAGTCAGAAATTACACCAATATCATTTTTGGAAAGTTTTAAGTCTTGTCTTCTTGTTTGACCTTTTTGACATACATTTGCAATCATAAAGCTAGCTAAACAAAACAACAGAGCTTAAAAGGCTCACAGAAGCATGAAGACAGTTTGTGATTTATTGCTTCAAGCTAAACGTGTATCACTCTGGAGTTGGAGAGGGAAATTCCTCAAAAAAAAAATGTCTGCCTTAGTATGGGAATCATTTGGGAACTAAAACTGAGCCATATCTATCCGTGTTAAAACCTGTACTTTCATTCTGCTTCCACTAGAGGTCACAACAACATTACTATTATATTCGATCAACGCCACTACGGCACTGCGTGGCTGAGCCTGATGTGACGGTATGACCGTGTCACAGATGAGCCAATCAGTCGCTGCTTCATGGGGGAAAACAAAGACAGCAGGAAAACGGTGCGATCATGAAGCTAATTAGGAAACAAAACATGGAAAGCCCTGGTTGAGGGATTTAAATTAGCATGGATGGCCAGAATAAACCTTAATGCATTTGTGTGCATTGATATTTTCTACTTCTGGAGTCCATCCTTACTACCGGAAGAAATGCATTATTATGATCATATGCTAGTTGTGTTGTTTGATTAATGGGCCGAGTATGGGTCAGTAACCTCGGAATTGCCATCCACACATTATTAACGACCGGGAGGGAAAAACTCGGCGTGCGCATCACCGTGCGCACTCCTGTGTACACACGCCTGTGTGTGCGGTGTGCGCAAGGTCGAGCGCAGGGCACAACATCGATGAACGGAAATAGATGAATGGAAATATTGCGGTTTTATCTGAAACCAATAGTCGGGGGGTTGGAAGCGCGGTGCGTTTTAAAAATGGCCACATTTAATGTGGTGATTTGTCAAAGGCGAGCCTGAGCAGAGACACAAGAAGGGGATGAGATATATTTGTGTTTGGTGGTCGTAAGGAGGTGGAATATGGTTGTGTACCGAAGAAAGGGAGCTGTGGGTCAAGTCCAAATGCTCGGCCGGAGCTGTGTAAGTCTAGAAACAAAAAGCCACTGAGGAGCTGGCAAAGTTTTGATACAATTTCTATAAAGTTATATAAAACCTCCCAGAGCAAGGTGAGATAGACTTCTATAGTCATTAAATTTGGGGGAACAACAATACACTCAAAGTCAGGTACAATGCCTTGAAAAGCATTTGAGCTTCTTCTGGGGATGGGGGGGTTGTCACTCTGAATATCTCACCCTTAAGGAGAATTTAGAGAGACCATCCTAACAGTTAGGTTTCTGGACTGTGAGAGGAAGAAAGAGAGAACCCACAAACCACTGGGAGAAGTTGGGAGAACATGCAAGCTCAGTGCCGAAGGACCTCAGGGAGGGAGTCAGTCTCTGGACCTTCTTGCTCCATGACTCTAGGTCTAACCAACTGTGTAACCCATCAGTCAAAGATAACCTGTGTAAGATAACCCCAAAGATAACCCCAAATCAATTTTCACTAACAATTTCGTTTTTTAGGTAGAAAGTCTATCAATCTATGATGTTTTGGTTTGTTTTCGCACATTTTGTGCTAATGCATATGAGTGGGAGGGTAATTAACACAGTAGGGTTACCTCGTTCATCATTTTCAGTGTGGAAATTACAGTTTTTCAGGCTTGCTGCGCAGAAAGAAACAACCTGTTATTGTCTGTTGTATTTTGGTGCCATGACTCAGTTTCTAAAGACTTTTTGTGCTGTTCTGTGTACCATGCTTTGATGCAGAATATGACATCACCTACAGTGCAGCTTTGGTTGCCGGATAGAACGTTTTGTGGCTGAACAGCCACAAGAGATTCTGATGTGTTTAGGTAACCGGAAAGGGTTTTAGTTTTGTTCGCTTTTCCTGGTTTAAAACTAAAGACCTTTTTTTTTAGACAGTTGATCAATGATTAACCAAACTAATCAGCGTTTTTTTCCCCTTCCTTCTGAAACAGAAAATGATTTACTTAGTTTTTTATGAGCAAAGGTGCAGACGTATAAAGAAAACATTCAGTACACAACCTTGGAGAACACCATCAGTCAGAGTAGAAAAAGCTGATTCTCCTACTCGGATACTTTGGGGATGATTGTTAAGAATGTCGCAGGTCCAGTTGGGGGTGATCACGATAAGACCCAGCCCACACAGTTGTTAATCAAGACACAATCATCAACATAGTTGGCCTTTTCAAATTCAATGGTTATTGTGTCGGTTAAGTAAGAAGCCCTCATTCTCTACTGAACTGCAACTGACTGCAGGAACATCACGTCAACAATCCTGGTCTCGACTAGACATTGTTTAAGATGTGCGCGAACAAGTGCGTGCATTCCTCTAAGTGTGTTGTCGCACTGTGATACTAAGTCAATTTGACGTTTTTGTTGAGAACACGGTGTAGTACTCAGGCTATAGATGCATATAAGGTTTTCAGGGCAGTGCATTGGGCTGCATTCGGACAATCCAAACTGTCCTCTCGTGTCTGCACCGCGTCCAGACCAGTGATGGCTCACGCACAGCAGAACACAGGCTTACATCCATGACACACTGGCCTAATAAATCTGAAACAAGAAGTGTTCACATAACTCATTACTTTTTTTTGTATTCAGGTCAGACACTGTTTTGCTACATTAACTGCACTAATGTGTCATTCAGCGGAAAAATCCAACGTGAAACACTTGACTTGACTATCTTTTGTTCTTTCAAGAACTTTGTAGATGGAAAAGTTTTCATCCGCCCGTCATGGACATGAGCTTTGTACTTACTTGATTGGACTGAGCCGTTGTTTTCCCAGAGAGGAGTGATTACTCAGCAAACTAATGTAAGCATTTTTACAAACTGTTATTGGATGTATTAATTTGTATGGATAAACTTGCAGGATCAGATATATGCATACACTTAAATCTTTTAAAAAGCAGTACTGAAAGTTCAGGAAAGTCTTTTGAGTTAGTACGGGGAATATGAGTCGCAGCTCACATTGAGGCCAGCACTGGGAGTTCCTGCATGAACGCAACAGATTAACTTCCAATGCCACCGCATTGCTTTATCTTACATAATTTGCATATTGCAAAACATCAGGTGACACGCCGTCCATGTAACTGATAATGCAGTTAGGTAAAGCAAAACTTGTTTATGGTGAAACTGCAAATGAATAACCTTTTTTTTTTTTTTCAGTGCTAACGATGCCCTCCTACGTCCCAGGACAAATCGCCCAGGATGGAGAGCCACATCACTCATAAAAAAGCAGCAGGGTTAGGAGTTTTTGACAAAGAAAGAAGCTATTGCTCCAAAATATACACACCTTCTGGCTTGACTGAAATTTACAGTTGATGTCATGGATAAGCCAGATGTATTTGGAAGTAGTGTCAAATATTGAACCATGTGGTCACAATGACCAGAACACTGGGCTCAGTGTCAAACATGGCGGTAGTAGTATCATCCTGTCGGCTGGCTTGCCTTGACATCCACCAGCAGTCTATAAAAACCTGAGAATGTTAGGCATTTCTTCAGAATAAACAATAATAATTTGTCGGTTCTCAAAAGACGGGTTGTTGGGTGTTATCATAAAAACAGTCATTATTAGTATGTTTTCATAACGATCCTGTCATGATATGAGAAACACTTGTAATTTAGTGAGACAGAAGTACAGTCATGGTACCATGAGAGCCGTTAAGGAGTGCCGAAGGCTGAAGGAAACGCCCAAATGTTCCGGATATTCCTCTCCTGTCAGCTGGAATGTTCCAGGGAACGCTGAAGATTGTTCCTGAATTGCCCTGACTGAGTCAGGACAGTGATGTCATACAAGAACTTTACAGATGGAAAATTTTGATGACATCCATGTCCTAACTCATTCATGGACATGAGTGTTGTGTTGATTTGCGCTTTTTAATGATTGATCTGAGCTGTTTTTTTTTTGTTTTGTTTTGTTTTTTTTGTTTGTTTTTTTCCAGAGAGGAATGGTTACTCAGCAAGCAAATATAATGACTTTTACCAACTAAAGTTGGATGTATTAATTTGTATTTGACTGTGTAGATTGAAAAAGAAGCATATGCATGCAGCGAGGCCAGCACTGGAAGTTCGTGGATGCATGAATGCAACACTTGAAAGCTGCAGATCATCTTCCAATGAAGTACTGCTTCATCTAACATAATTTGCATGGTGCAAAACGTCACTGATA